GGGGGGCGACTGCTGTGGATGCTCTTCTCCCGGCCAGCCCGCCGCTGCACTCTGCTGACAGACCCCTTACGCTTGTGCTGGTCTCTGCCACTTCCTGTCGCTGCTGGGATTATTCCAAGAAGCAGGTTGGTCACAAGGTCCCGGGAACAGTCACACCTCCCACCTGGGAGCAAGGGCCCCCCACTCAGCTCCGTCTCACCTCCTCCCAGCCCTCACGTCAGCATCCCCTAAGACCCCTCCAGCTCTGCCTAGATGCCAGAATGCCGGGATCTCATTCTCCCCGTGCGCCCTGAGATGCTGTTCGCCCCCGGGGCTGCACCTGACTCTCCCTGAACCTGCTCCTTTCCTAGAGAGCCAGACGATGCTCGAGTGGGCTGGGGGCAAGACAGAGAGGGCCAAGTGAACAAACCTGAAAGAGCGTCTTTCCTCGGCCTTCTCTTCCTCCCAGCCCACCCCCTTCTCTGCCCAGTTACTCACGATGATGTTGCAGAGCAGGAGAAACAGAGAAATGTCCTTCAAGCACCGGCATCTCCAGTGGCCCCTGGGGGCCAAGGTGATGCTCACTGCTCCCTGAGGTCCTGCTGGGCTGGGGCCAACCAGCCTGGGGGTGGGTGGGCAGGCAGGCAAGGTGTGGAGGGTGTCCAGGCTGGCAAAGGTGAGGCCGTGGCAAGGCTCCTTGGGGGGAGTACCATGAGGCTCAGCCCCGGGGGGAGTCCGGTGGAGGCTCTCAATGATGAAAACGTTCTGGAATGTGTGCTGGGCGATCACGAGCAGAGCGTGGGCCAGGCTGAGCCCCGCCAGCAGCTCCCTGGGTGTGCCCGCCACTGCAGCCACGATAGAGTAGTAGGAGATGGCGTACTGGCCCAGGGCGGCACCCACCAGGAGAGCCATGTCCAGGCTGCGCGTGGGGTTCTTATGGTGGTCCATGGCCCGGCGGTCAAAACGGTAGATGACTGAGCCGCTCAGGCTGACCAAGGTCATGAGCCCCAGACAGACGATGTTGAAGATATAGTAGATGACCAGGGCCTGCTGGGTGCGGCCCCTCTCCCCGCTCGCTTGGACCTCATAGATGATGAAGACGGCCAGCCCCACGACGAAAAGCATCAGGCCCAGTATCGGGCCGGCAAAAAAGGTCTCCCGGAAGTGGCTGAGCAGGGATGGCGTGTGGCTGTGGCCACGGGTAGAGGAGGCCAGCAGCCTGCCCACGTTCTTCCACATGACATAGAGCGTGGTGGAAGCAAAGAGGCTGTACTCGATGTTGAAGGGGCACAGGTAGTAATAGCCCTGCTGGAAGATCTGGCAGACGGCCGTGTCGCAGGAGCAGTCTTCTCCAACCGGGCTGCCCGCACGCTGCACTGTGGAGAGGGGGGCGTGGAGCTGCACTGCCCTTCCACCTTCCTGGAGGCCCCCGCCTGAAGAACCTCACCCCTAGACTGTGACCTTTGGAAGGGCAGGGTTGCTATCCATCACCACCGTATTCCAAATGCCTACACAGGGCCTGGCATGTCCGTTCATGCCACAGATATTTATTGAGCACCTACTATGCCCCAGAAACTGTGGGACACACCAGTAAACCCTAGCCAGGGCTCGATTAAGAAAAAAAAAATTTTGAGATGCAGAGTTGCTCTCTTCATCCTGTCCCATTCCTGCAGAGAAACACTCCCAACCCTTCCCCACCAGTAATGACCCCTGGCTGCCCAAGATAGGCAAGGCTCTGGTCCTCATAGAAGGTGGCCCACTTGGAAACCCCTAAAATTCAAGCTGCCTCGCAGCTCTCGCCAGCATCTGCTTCAGCCAGAAAGCAGCTGCTGTGCCCAGGTCTCGACCGTGACCTCCTGTCACTTCGGTTTGTACCATACTGATAGGAATCTCATCCTGCATCCAGAGTGTGCTCTGCTCTGTAGGATTCCTCGGGCCTTGGCAGACAGCTCTTTTGATCCCCAGAACTATCTCAGCTGGTTTTGCAGAAGAAGGAACTGAGGCTCACTCAGAGAAAGTGGCTTGTGATGGCAGAGCTGACACAAATGACGTGACTCTCACCCCGAGACAGGTACCTCTATGCACCCTGCAGCCCTGGCACGTAAGGTCGCCCGCCTCCCTGGGCTGGGTTTAACCATCCTCAGGACCCCTCTGTATGTGGAGAGTGGCCCTTTTCAGTCCTGCTGGCCTGGGATCTCCTGCAGGCCTGGATCCACGCTTTCCATTCCCGGACCCTCCCATACTGGGTGTGCGTGTGTATTCAGGCAAGGTCCAGGTGGACTTGGTCATCTAGTCTGATCCTGGCTGGTGGCGGGGGGAGGGGAGGGGGGGCTAGAGAAGTCCAGAGAACCAGGACCAGGGGGACCGTGGGCTCATTATTCTTCAGCATAGCATATTGGTTCAAAGCAAAGACGGATCTCAACCCTAGTTCTCCAATTTCAAGCTCTGTGACCTTGGGTAAGCTACTTAACCTCTCTATGCCTTAGTTTCTGCATCCATAACATGGGAATACTAATAGTACCCATCTCACAGGGAGGTTGCAAGGGTTAAGTAAGATGGTGCTTGAGACACCTGGCACAGTGCCTGACAAATGGAGCACAGAGAATTGTCACTATCGTTACTGCGATCATTAATTCTACATTCTTCTGCTTGTCAGGCACTCCCTTCTGATCCCACGCTTCCACCACTGAGCCACCCTGCCTCCCTTCCCCTCTTTCTACCTTGATCACTCTTGCCCTCTCTTCCTGGAGCATGAATCCCTTCTTTGGTGGGACGGAGACCTGGACAGTGGGACCAAGGCTGTACTGTCCAGGATGAAAAAATGCTCCCCTGTACTCTTCCTCCTGGGCCACCCACATCTAAATTTCTTCAGAGGCATAGCCTGGGGCAGGAGGAGGTCCCTGGCCTCCACCTTTGCCTCCATGCCCTCTACGAGTCCACAAAGCACCCAGCCCGAGGCCTGGCTGCCACGGGACCAGGGTGAATCTGAAGTGGGCACTCACATTCCAGAGCGAGGCGGGTACGGCTGGTGTTGCCGTGAGAACTGCTGAGGGAATGGGCCTGGTGCACCGATTCATCCGCCACGGCCGCCATCCAGATGGCCAGGTTGGTGGTGAGCGTGAACATGAGACCACATCTGTTTGGGGAGGGAGAGCAAAGAGGCCAGTGAGAGTCTGTGGCTCATGTTGGGTCCCCGGCGTGGTGGAGAGCTGGGGATGCTCTCCTGGGAGATGGTGCTGAGAAGCAAGAAAGCAGGCAGACCCCTGTGTGAACAGGGAAGCTGAGTTTGGAAGGAACACTTAGCCTGGCTGAGATGCCTCCCAAAAGAGGGCTGGGGGTGTCATGGGGTTCAGGCCACGGCTGCTCCCTCTCTTTGGGGAAAGGACATTTGTACATTACGCACACCATCTCACCAAGCACGTCCCCCATACCCCCAGCAGAAGGTGGTGGAAATCAGGCTGACAAAGCCAGGGGGCCTTGGCTGAAACCCCACCTGGGGGCAGAAAGAGGACCCATGCCCCAGGTTGGGAAGCGCTCATCTCATGCCAGGTGAGCCCAGCCCCTGGGCATGGACATTGAGCCATGGGCATGGAGCAGGCACTCACCGAGTCAGGTCCAGGTGGGTATGAACACAGTCTTTAGCAGAGATGCAGAGAAAGTAAGTCTGTGTTGAGAGAGAGTGGTGGAGTCATCTACTCTGCCGACGGGCTCAGCCCGGAGCGCCCAGGTCCATGCCCGGCCCTATGTGCTTACCACCTCAAGAGCCCTCCTACTACGTGATCGAGTTTCTTTCAGCTTTACAAAGTGAGACGTGAGCTTTTCTCTCTTTCTATTCTCTGGAGCGATTTGTACAAAATAGTTCTCTGTTCTTTAGAAGTTTGCAAAATGCCACCTGTAAACTCTCTGGGCTTGGTGTTTGTTTTCTGTTTCTTTGTAGGGTGGAGTTTTGACTGCCTAGTTATTTATTCCTGGGAGCGAGGCCAGCCTCAGAAAGAACCTAAGGGGCCTCTCAGCTCTCTCTGGCACTGTCCCTGTCTCATCCTCATCCTTCGTTGCCCTGCAAGTCCTTGCTCTCACCTGGCTGCCCACAAATCCTTGCTGTGGTGTTTATTGATGTTGGGGTGTCTGTATTTCCATTTTGCCTAAGTATGCTTTAAAGTCAGAAAATGTAAAATTAAAACTATATAAATGCCAAAGTCATAAATGTGTTACATTGTGGAAACCTGGGCAGTAGGGATGATGTTTCAAGAGAGGGAACCATACACGTGGTCATTCTGGGCTGGAGGGTTTGGGTCCCACGTTAAGACCAGTCCTGCTTCAGCTCAATCAGAAGATCTTTTCAAGTGTTATCCGTGCAAGAAATAAAAAAGTGAACTTGGGGGCTTCCCTGGTGGCGCAGTGGTTGGGAGTCCGCCTGCCAATGCAGGGGACATGGGTTCGAGCCCTGGTCTGGGAGGATCCCACATGCCGCGGAGCGGCTGGGCCCGTGAGCCACAACTACTGAGCCTGCGCGTCTGGAGCCTGTGCTCCGAAACAAGAGAGGCTGCGATAGTGAGAGGTCCGCGCACCGCGATGAAGGGCGGCCCCCACTTGCCACAACTAGAGAAAGCCCTCGCACAGAAACAAAGACCCAACACAGCAAAAATTAATTAATTAATTAACTCCTACCCCCAACACCTTAAAAAAATTTTTTTTAAAAAAAGTGAACTTGTTTGAAAAATCCCGTATACAGGATACCCTATTTCCTGAAAAAATACAGAATATAGGGGACATGGCTGAGGCCAAACTGGCCATGCCCACAGCAGGACGCTGAGCTGAGACTGATGCCCTCTATGGGCACCCAAGGAGGGCAGGTCAGGTTCCAGGAGACAGAGCAGCTGCCACAACTGACACCTCCTAAGTGTTAACTACTGGCACTGCTTAAGGTGAAATGAAATCGCAGGGCCCCTAAGTAGACACTCACATTTGGATATTACTTCATTACCAAGTGCTTCCAGATTTATGGACTCATGTGATCTGCACTACAGTCCTATCCCCACCCTAATTGATTGCTCAGCGTGGAAGTGGAGTGGAGCTCAGATCTCCTGACTCCATGCCACGTGTTGGCTCTCTTCCACCACACTCAAGGACACTCCTCCCACCCACCTGCACAATGACAAACACAGCCTGGGTGAGAGGGTACAGGATCTTGATGGCTGACTGGCACTCAAAGGAACTGGAGTAGTAGCCGATCTTGAAGACATCCATGATGAGAGTGCAGATCCCAAACAGCACCAGCCCACCTGGGAATGAGGGGTGGGGGGTGGATCAGAGAGGCAGGAGAAAATGACTACAGATTTGAGGATGGATGGCCAAATAGTTGGATGATTGGGTGGATGGATGGATGAATAGGGCAAGTGAGAAGATGGATGGAAGGATGGGGGGAAGGATAGGTGGATGATGAGTGGGTAGATGGAAGGATGAGTGTGTGATTGAGTGCGCGGATGGACAGATGTCCTGTTGAGCCCCCATCCCTTTGGGGCTGCATAGATAAGGGGAAGGGCCCTAGAGAGGCTCTTTCAACTGCAGCTGTCGTCTGTTTTCTGCTCTCGATCAAAGTCTCTTCCATGGCCACCCTCTTTCAATCTTTAGAAAGGGCAGAGAAGTTCCACTCCATCCCTCTCTTCATCCCTCTTGCAGGACTCTTTCCTCTTCACCCTCAGACACATCTAGCCTTGGGGGGTGGGGACTTCTCACCTCGAAGGGCACCCAGCAATTCCTGCGGGAGCCCCAGCCTCCAGTTCCCCGCCTGGGCCACCCCATCTCCGCCCACACCTCCCCTGGCACCTCGGAGCCAGATGGGGCCCGCGTGCCCGTCCCGGTAGGGGACAGCGTCGGTGTCGGGGCAGCGCACGGTGCGAAGGAGATAGAAGAGGATCCAGAGCACAGCCAGCAGCATCATGGTGGTGAGCAGGGCGAACACGTCGGTGTCGTACACCGCCACCTTGTTGAAGGCGCCACCGCTGATGAGCGTGCAGGCGAGGAGCAGCACATTCAAGGCCAGCAGCACAGACAGCAGGCGGCCGCCCTTCTTCCACACCTCGCGGGGGGCTGCCCGCGGTGCCGGCGGGCTCTCCGTGGGGCCCGTGGGCAGCTCCTCGGACATGGCAGAAGCGACTGGAGGAGGCTGGAGGGGTCACTGTCGGGGCGGAGTGGACAGGACCCCAGGTCAGCCTCGAGAGCTCTCCTTCCTCCATCTTATCCCTAAATTTGGGGACCCGAGGGGTGGGGGCTGCGGGGGGTGAAGGAAGCGCTGGGAAGGGGAAGAGAAAAGCCCACTGTGCCGGTCTCGCGCTCGACGGGAGGAAAAGAGGAGCGGCTGCAGCCCCGTCGGACCCCGTCCAAGGTTCTCACTCCCCAAATCCGTCGGCCGGCTAGCCAGGGGCACCCACCTGGCTGGGCCGGGAGTCCGCGCTGAGCTGGGGGTCAGGGGGCGGCGAGTGTGTCCTCTCTCTAACACCGGGACGGACGGGCGCTTTATACCGGGGAGGGCAGGGTGATTTACAGCCGTGGGAGCTCAGCTCCATAAACCTCTCAGTCCCACTCACATGATCCATCTTTTTCCCGGGCTGAATTTAGGGAAGAG